CCCCGCCGACGCACTCCTTTATCTCGCTAAGCCAGAAACAATCCTGGTGAAGAGGAAAGGTTGGGTATGACGTTAGAAATCCCATCTTGTTAAATAGACACTGCTACAGAAACTTCAAGCCACTGGCTTGAAGCCCTATGTTCCACTGGGGAAAGTGAAGGGAAAAAACCATCTAAGACAAAACAATTTAAATCTTCTACATTTCATAAGCTGACTTTATCATACCTTATTATATTTACAGGCGAATAGTCAATAAATTATATACTAATTAATAAATAAAAGAAGGCTACAAGTTTCATTGAATTTTCAAGTAGTAAAATATAAACTGTGTTATAATTTCGATCGTGAGAGAAAAAAGAAGAACAATTATTGTTTATTCAAAATGAACAGTTGTTTTAAAAAACATATCTGTTAGAGTACTTTATGCACACCAACTTTACTAGTGCTGAAATTCACATTTCAGGTGATAAATGAAATGATGCTTAGTTTAAATTTAAAATTCCCAACAAACAGCTCTTTACACCTGTATCAAAAAAGAGCTCAGTGATTTCACCATTCTCGTTTTGCGTTTTTATTATTAACTATCTCTCCTTTTGTTCACTTTACCTCACAGTACTGATATGAAGTGTGTAGCAATCTGACCTGTGGCCAACTAACAGACTAACTAGAAATGCTCCTTAGCTGGATGTGCCTGCATTCCCCAGTGGTGTGAATGGAGTTCCCACTGAGACTCGAACCCAGTACCCAACGCAAAAGAGTTATTTACTAGACCACTTGGGTCCAAGGAGCCACCTCTTGTGCAATGAGTGTCAGTCATTGTTTATTTTTAATTCTGATTTTCGTCAGTGGGAACACCGTCACTTACTGAGGATTGCAGGTACATCCAATTGACAAGTCTCAAACAGGACGAAATGCGTATCCTGGATCCCACTACTATTAGTCATCATTCACAACATTACATCCCGTTATATCCACAAACATCGTCAAAGCATCCACAGAAGGAGCCGACAACTCAACGGAGGCCAAACATTTCGGTTCAATGAATCAAAACTGAATTGAAATTAAATAGAACTACCCTTAATCTACTGGTTATGATGATTAAAATGCTCATTTAAAATAGATTGTCTTAGTGAGAACTCCCTCAGGCGGCATACATTTTTCTATGTCCCAGTCTACGATGATACTATTCACTCACTCAAACTGACGAAAAGAGCATATCAAACCCCACATTCAGTGTCCGAAACTCAAACTGTTTAGGACAATAAACCATGTCTACATTGACTGGCTGGTTTCAACATGGATATGATAGATACAGGAGAGTGTATGCATCTGCATCACTGAGAATGACTGAGTCATATCACCAGCCTTCATTGATTCTTATCATCCCGAGGACCCCAAACAGCCACCCAGTTTACAACTCCCTACATGAGTAGCCCAAACGAACTGCTAAATATTCCATGGACTGGTGTCATGCTTCCATCTGACAATCACTAGCTCTTTTCCAAACTAATCTTATGTCAGCTAACATTGCCAATAGTCGAGAAAGGCGACGGTTAGTCATGCGTGAGACATGTTCTAGACACCTCAGTCGATGTAGCTCCACAACCTCATCGATAGATTTTTCTTCACCTAACACCACCTGTTTCCTCGATATAATTCACCGTATTATACCACCTAACATGGGAGAGAGAACGTAGACACCTATGATTAAAAAAAGCCAGCCTTTTCATGTCTTCCACTTTCAGCGACCATGTCACAGCTATGAAGGAGCACAAAGCAAACTGTTGAACGGTACACACATCCACACTAGGCTAAAAGAAATTCCTATGCGAGTCACAGCACAATTTTACACACTATTTGACGATGCTGAATATGTCTCGCAAAAAGCCTATAACCATAACATTTTTTATTCCAAAATCCAAAGAAAATCGACGCTTGTTGAATGAAGTCTGACTGATTGGGTCACATTGGTACCTTAACTGTATTAGTGCTGATGACGTGATAAAACTGAATAATCCTTAAGTAATAAATGTACTAGCAATAATATAAAGCACTACACTAACACGGTTAAAAATTCTATCTACAAAGGAACAAATAGGATTTAAATAATAATTTCACGCTTTTAAGAGTTACTTCCTACGGATTTGGTTTGTTTCAAGTTTGATCACGGACTGATTTCAGTTAGGTAACAAATAAAAACCAACAGCGAGTGCTGGGCAGTTGCTTTGTCCTAGCCTGCAGTTCCCACCCGCCAGGGTTCAAACCCAAGACCGTAGGGTCACAAGTCAGGCTCCTAGACAATTCAGCCGCTGGGAACCATACAATACTCTTTAGTCTTTAACGGTTCTCTAACTGATATCAATCCGTAGCTAAACTTGGACAAAACCAAATCCTTACAAACTAACTCTTGAAAATTATTTTGACGCTAGCTGGCGAAGGGCTTCAGGACGAAGTTGACTGGAGTCCTCTTGATAAGTCGTGACCGATGGGATCCATTTAGTGGGGAGTGAGGACAAATATTCGTCAGTGATGGCAATGGCTGGCGCAAATCGTGCTGAAATGACGAGTTGGTAGAAATTAGAATTTATTGGCTGACCATCCACTTTCCCCATTTCTGTTTAACTTCATCATAGATATGCTAATGGAAGTATCCTTAACTAAACGTAGTGACTTAGGAATCGATTTGTTACCAGGGAATAATCTTATGGACTTAGAATATGCAGATGACATAGTCCTGTTAGGGGAGGATGCTGAAAAAATGAAGAGTCTTCTGAACACCTTGAGCAGCAATCTTCGTATGTTTGGCATGCGATTCGCCCCTACAAAATGTATGATGCTGCTACTGGACTGGACCACGTCAACTCCTAACTTAGTGATAGGGATTGAAGTGATAGAACATGTTGACCACTTCACCTATTTGGGAAGTTGTATCAGCCAGCACCAACGGACTGATTGGCGACGAAATCTCAGCACGGATCCACAAAGCTCGAGCTGCTTTCGCTGACTTACACCATCTCTGGTGTAGGCGTGACATCCGGTTATCAACCAAGGGACGTGTGTACTGCTCAGCAGTTCGCTCCGTCCTTCTCTATGGCTCTGAAACATGGCCAATACGAGTTGTTGAAGACATGAAAAGGTTGACTGCTTTCGATCATAGATGTCTGCGATCTCTGTCTCACGTTAGGTGGTTTCACAAGATAAGTAATGTTGATGTTAGGCGTAGTGTTGGGCAAAGAGGGAAAATCAATCAACGAGGCTATAAAGTTACATAGACTAAGATGGCTAGGTCACGTGGTGCGCATGCCTAACCACCGCCTCCCCCGACGGGCTTTGCTAGCTGATATAGGTTCAGGTTGGAAAAGAGCCAGTGGTGGCCAAACAAAAACATGGCATCAATCCATGAAATCCTTGACAGTTAAACTGAGTCGGTCAGGTAGGGAGATGCAGACTCCCGGGTTGGGGCCCTCGGGACTCTAGGAATCAATGGCTGGAGACAATAGGTGACATGGCTCAAAATCGTTGTCAATGGCGCAGATGTATTCAGTCTCTGTAATCTTTCATATTCCTTTCTACCATTACCCATTCTGTTTCACTCTTATACTTGTCAAACTCTATTAATTCTCTTCACTCATCTTCTTGTCTACCTCTGTGGGCTATTTGGAACGTGGCAACTCGAACTGCTGCACTTCGGTGCCAAGTTCTATGTTGAATCCAGACAGATTGGCTGACCAATGGATCGAGTCGGAGTGGCTGGATGGTCGAAGGGCTTGACTTTTAACCGGAAAGTCCTGAATTCAAAGCTCAGTAAAAACTAAACTGTTCACCTTTTTATGTTTTCCAAATTGCTTACAAACAGATGAGCAATACTTTAGCATAGAGATAAATCACTGACTAAATTGCATGCAATGGATAGACTTGTAATTATTAACGATAAGGTTAGTAAGTCATTTTGTCAAATGGCTACGCAGTTGCAACTTAAAAAATTGCACAGGAGCTCACATTAACTTCAACGTTAATAGCAGTGTTTTAATGATACGGAAAAAGCAGACGGTCTAAACTTTCCTTTGTGGTTCAAACAAACACCTGTGTGCGAATTAATGCTACATCTTGATTTGACAATTCTCCTGACGTAGTCCCTTGGGATAGACAATGTGTAATGTTCCGAGGATCTTAAGCCAAGTGTCTTCGACTTCGTCAACAATGTAATCCACCGTATTTAACATGCATACTGGTTCTATCAGACGGAGGCAATGACAAGAAACCGACAGTTAGCACAAATCTGTTGCTGTATAATAACAGGTCATTGTCCAAGTTCCTAATGTGAAACGTTGAACGAAACAATTAGCTCAAGAGGAAAGATAAAGCCAGTCCGTTGAACAAAATACATTTATTGAGAGATATTTATAATTAAATAACTAGTGATATGAGGATAAAGATTTAATCAAGTCAGGCAATGACAACCACAGTGAAATCACACGTGTTTACATTCACAACCAGCCAGTACACTATATGGTGGTAGTGTGGCATTTCCGGAAAATAATGCGAGGCAACACTCGGTCTCTCTATGAGTACTTGATTTCCATGAAATACGCATTGTTCTCTAACGATTTTTCAATGAATGGTGAGTCTAAACATTGCAAATAAAAATCTCTCAGCGGTGTAATTACCTCTGAAATATGAACACATTTATAAGAATTAAGGATCTCAACGATATAAGAAACAAAAATAATCTCCGTAACAGATGAAGTGTGCAAAATGTTCTTGCTGGCACAGCGTGCAAATAAACGTATCTATGCCATACATATAACGATCAACAAATGTGAAGAAGTGGAAAACAAGATGGACCAGGAGCAATATTATCATCGCAAAATAGAGTTTTCTTATTCATGTAAAATTTTCACTGGATTGCCTAACGAATGTGATGGTAGAAAATGTGCCCAGTAAAAATAGCAAGAAGCCAAACAGAACAAAAACGTAAACCTACATAGATATCAACTAACCTTCTGAGAAAGTGAAGATTCTAAAATCCGAACATGCAACGACGAAATAATCAAACCACGCGCCTCGCCAGAGAAGGTAAGTCAACTACCTTTAGCGCATTTCAACCGCTGCTTTTACAATATTTTTGGTGACATTCCGCCAATTCGCATATTTCCGGATGCTTCTTACTCTGTGTTGATAAAATACAGATCTCCAAAAAGACCAAAACCTTTCACCTAAATAGACATCAAGCTTGAAGTTCACTAGGTAATATATCTAAAAAAGGGAACACGTAGCGAAAACTTGCTTTACAAAGGACAGCTGTGAGTCCGAGGCACCTAGTGTCAATATTCAAACTAACAAAACCATATTAGTCCTTCAGCTATTTTACCTTTGACTTCTAACTCATCCCTGTTTTTCCCGTTGCATTCATTCAGTTAGAGGACAAATGCGTTCCATATTGCTTGTTCTACGTTCTTTTGGTATCAGTCTTTTCTGAGAAGTTTGTGCTACTACACAATGCTACATTTGCCGCCTGAAGGGGATTTGAGTCATTTTTAGAATAGAGAAGCTGGTGTTGTAGTCTGTACCCTTAATGGAGCTCAGTGAAATTTTTGTCACTTATATATATATATATATATATATATATATATATATATATATATATATATATATATATATATAAGAAATACAGAAATACTGTCTTCGCATTACCAAGAACCCAGGTATGGGGTGGATGAATCACAAATCCGAGGACAACAAGGGCTGAATTCAGTTTTTCTACGTTACTTCGCTGTGTACGGTATCTCATCTTACTCCTGATTAATAGTCATATGGTTCGTGAATTTGAAATGAGTTATATATTTGTCTCATGTTTTCAGCATTGTCACTGTATGGTTGCTGCAAGAGTCATTTGTATTTCGTGCAGATGAATAGCAAGCAGAACTATGGGGGATTCCATCACTGCATCAATGTGGTGATTGACAATTTCTATCTCTGTATTGTTTAAATACTTACTGTTTGTAAGATCAATTCAATTCCCATCCTTGAATCAAGTCAACCTGTCCCGGATCAGCCTAGCGTTGTTGCGACTCAATTATCCATGTCTAACGTGTCTATCCCCCCTTGTTTAATGTACTGTGTATATGTGTTTTTACATCGATTCGTTTAATAATAATAATAATAATAATAATTTATTTTCATATAAACATAAATTTACATGAAAATGCATGCCATTTTTACAGGCACGATCAAGGATGATATAATGTCAAATCGTAGATTGTCTACAAGTTAATAATGTTTCGACAGTTAAATATTTGATATATATATAAATATACATTGTCTGAACTAGGCTGTATAGTTATTGAATTGTACAGTTGTCCTCCAGGTTGAGCGGCAAAATTGACTTCGTTTCGTTTTCATCCCGTGGTTGTAGGCATACGATAACCAACCAATATTGAGGTAAGTACAACGTTTACAAGGAATTGGAAGCTGTTTTAGAAAAATTAAAGTGCTGTGGTGAAACATTAAAGTGTAATAGATTAAGTGAGTGCAATATATAATAATAATAATAATAATTTATTTTCATATAAACATAAATTTACATGAAAATGCATGCCATTTTTACAGGCACGATCAAGGATGATATAATGTCAAATCTTAAATTGTCTACAAGTTAATAATGTTTCAACAGTTAAATATTTGATATATATATAAATACACATTGTCTGAACTAGGCTGTATAGTTATTGAATTGTACAATTGTCCTCCAGGTTGAGCGGGAAAATCGACTTCGTTTCGTTTTCATCCCGTGGTTGTAGGCATACGATAACCAACCAATATTGAGGTAAGTACAACGTTTACAAGGAATTGGAAGCTGTTTTAGAAAAATTAAAGTGCTGTGGTGTAACATTAAAGTGTAATAGATTAAGTGAGTGAAATATATCATTAATAAACACATTTATATAGAAAACAGAATGGGGAAGTAATTAATCCTTAGGCCGACAACGTTCATTTGCAATGTATAATGAAACCAATATATTTTATACTATCATGCGTTCACTTTTGGCTTTAATACAATTATTTTCAAGCCAGTTGTCTTTATTTCATGTCTTTTTTTCTATTTGGTGCACAACCGTACCCTCCAGAGAATAGGAATAGAATAAGTCGAATCAAATTCATAAAGAGCTATAAAATGTTAGGTTTAATGGAATATAATGAGAATCAAGTAAAGACGTTATTAGAAAATAAGTGAGACAAGATATTGTGAAGTGGTATTTAAAGATCTGACAATGGATAGCAAGTTAATTCATAAGATGCCCCATAAATCTGTGCAGATCCCACGTGGTCGCATCTCAACAATAGGCTGAGCGAATGGTATATATTTAAAGGTAGAAGCATTATCTGTCAAGGCGTTCACTATTATCTTTTTCAAGATAAAGATCTAAGCCCTCATAAAAATCAGAAATATCTCGAGCCTTTAATTTGTATATTGCTGTTCCTGCAGAATGGGGCGATTCACCTTAGTGACCACCACCATATCTACTGATCAGCTAACGCCACCCTCCCTCCTTTTTTGATGTTAGGCTCTGAGACTATGATTATTATGGCTACCGCAAATATATTGCTTGGTACCAGACATGTTCGTACCCCATATTCCATCTCCCTAGCTTTCTTAATGAGTGCTTCCAATAGGTCTCCACGTACATCTTTACGAACATATTATATATGTGTGCATGCATCCTGATGAACAGATTACTTTATAAGAAGTTAAAACCTTAAAGAGTAAAACGAATAGGTATTGTGAATAGTGGAGCAAGATTTAGCAGAATACTATAGTTAAGGTTCAATTTAGGTAGTATGGACTGAAGGTAAGGTCGGTTGGCAGGACTTAGTGTACTAAATTTTCATGACAGTCTTATATATAGTAAACATCTGACATTGCAAAGTAACGTGTCTAGACATATTATAAAAAGATATTAACACAGAACCAACGAAATTTTGGCGTTTTTTAACAATACTGCAGTGTGTGTATACTGAAGAATGGTGGTTAGTCTACAGGGAGCCGTAGAGTAAATCAAACCATATATGATAAGAGTATAATCAATAATATAGTTCGTATATCAAATATTACACTAGGTTCAATAATTGAGTGTTATAAGGGAAACAAGCGTGGTAAAGCAAGAGAACATTTGATGCATAAATATTTTAAGTATTTTAATATCCATCTAATTTAAGAGTTGAACATGCATGATTAATAAGTATTGTTATATTAGTATATACATATGTAAAACGTTAAAAGGTGTGGATGCTATTACAATTATTTCCAGTGTTACTTTCACCAACACAACTTAGTGAAAATTATAGAGAATAGAAATCAGTAAATTAGTTAACGTTCGCTGCGTGAGTATTAGAGTCGAGATATACGTATGTGACTATACTGAAGACTGGACTGGCCTTCAATTTCCGTTCTACCAACAGTTGTGGTCTTTTAGACGAGCTAGGGTGGACATGTTAAAGTGTCTTTCTAGGCTCCGTTTGAACCCATCAGGGTTTTCACAACATCTTATTTCAGGTGGTAGTTGGTTCCAAAGAGTGCAATATTTTATGGTGAAAAAGTTTGCCCTAATGGATTTTCTGTGGGTAGCCACCTTGACAAGGTAGTCGTGGTTTCGCAGCTGATATGATTTAATATTTTCCCAAGTTATGGATGAGTTACTGTAGCAGTGTTTCCTAATGACTTTGAAGAGTAGAAATAGGTTGCACTTCACTCTCCTTAACCACAGAGGCTCTAATTTCAGACGTACACACCTGTCAACATATTCCACTTGTTGGTCGAACCCTATTATGCGTTTCGTGAGGAATCTCTGGACACTTTCGATTTTTTTTCTGTCTACAGTCCTGAGGTTACTAAATAGGAGAGCACAATATTCAAGTTTGGGACGGATACATGTCCTATATATAGCTAATCTTGCTTCTTGGGTGTAGAAGTTACGCAGTACAAAGCCAGTAAGTCGTTTACAGTCAGATACAACCTTATTTGCGTGATCGGAAAAGGATAAATCTGAGTATGTTATCCCGAGGTCTGTGACTGTGTTCAGTTTTGACAGGAGCTTCCCGTACATGTATAGGCACATTATCGGTTTCCAGCGTCCAAGGTGGGTTATACCGCACTTGTCTGGGTTGAAAGTCAGTTGCCACTTTTCGCTCCAATCGCCTAGATCATTTAAGTCTTGTTGGATCTTGCTTTCGACGCTCATATCACCGTACCCATAATCATATACTATCTTGAGATCATCTGCAAAAAGGTATGGCTTGCCATACTTGATTACAGAGACTATGTCATTTATAAATAAGAGGAATAGAATAGGGCCAAGAACACTACCTTGTATTACACCACTGGTTATCGGCTTTGAGGAAGACAACTGGTGGTTGATTTTGACTAATTGCTCTCTTTCTGTGAGAAAAGAACTTATCCATTTGTGAAGATTTCCGGTTATTCCGTAGGATTGGAGTTTTGTTAGGAGTCTGATATGTGGGACTTTATCGAAGGCCTTGCTAACGTCAAGAAACAATGTTGTTACCGAACGCCCATTATCAATGCTTTGTGTGATGTAGTCAAAATAATCTAAGTGGCAAGTAATGCACGACCTTCTACTTAAGAAACCGTATTGGGATGGGGATAGTAGGTCATTTGACAGCAAGTACTGAATGATTTGAGTCTTAACTATCTTTTCCATTACACGTGAAACTACAGACGTGATGTTGATGGGGCGGTAGTTGTTGATATCAGCTATAGGCCCGTATTTATGGATAGGTACAATATAAGACTTCTTCCAGCAGTTAGGGTATGTCCCATCGCTTAATGAAATTGAGTATAACTTGAGTAAGAGTAAACTCATGTCATTACCACCTTTTTTCAGCAGAACGGAAGATATACCGTCTGGGCCAGTAGTGTTACTAAGCTTAAGATTTGCGACAGCTTTATCGATCTCATGTGTGGTGAAAATTATGTCACTTAAACATTCGTCTGTTTTACGTGGGAAATCCACGACTTCATCGTTCTCTAAGGTGTATAATCTGGCGAAGTGCTTGCTAAACAGTTCACATATCGCCTCATTATTTTCGTAAGCAATGCCGTCTAAGTATATTATTTTCGGATAGGGTGTTTTGGAGTTCATCAACCTACTTTTAAAAAGTTTGGCTATTTCTCCTGAGTTATGCGGTGCATGAATGGCCTGCATTTCTTTGTTTCTGAGGCCTATATTTCTCAACTCTTCAATTCTACTGAGAAGGGACGTTATGGCAATTAATGACGATAAGTCATGATATCTGTAGTATTTTATTGAGTGCTTACGTAGACTTCTTCTAAACGATGTCGGAATATAATCACTTTGGGGGAATCTGAAGTTAAGAATCTTCTCGGGTGCAATGACGTCGTGAATTGAGTTAATATTCTGATAGAAGTTGTTAAGAATTGCATCTAAGGACTGGTTCGAAAAGTACGAGTCCCAATTAGAACATCTAATTAGGTGCTGATACAAGTCCCAGTCAGCATGTGTGTACAATCTCATAGGTATCTGGCCAGCTTCATCTCTGCGTTTTGTTTCAGGAAAGATGTCAAAAGAACAAACTACTATTCTATGGTCACTACCTGGAAATTCATGTCCAACATGTACGGTAGATGGCGTTATGTTGTTCGTGAAAATAAGGTCTAGGATATTTGCGGATCTAGTGGGTGAATTTATGTGTTGTGTCCACCCTCCTGTGACGATGGAATTTATGAGATTATCGTACCTTTGGGGTCCTCGGAGTGAAGACCATGATACTTCTGGCAAGTTGAAATCGCCTCCGATAATTTTATAACTGAAAGGAAGATTGGCTGTAACATTAAAGATATTGCTAAGCATATTATCATATTCCCTGCTGGATGAAGGGGGCCGGTACACACAACCCACAAGTATAGGTTTACTTCTGACAACTTTTATTTCGACCCAGATCGAGTCATTGAGTTGTGACAGAATTGGGTTACTAAACTGGGTTGC